GGGGGGGATTGACAACGAAGCCACACCGCAAAGAGAGCGACACGAATCTTGGCGTTCACATCCTGTGATTGAGCAGTTAGATGCGACATAAGTAATTCTCAGCTAGATGTGATTTAACAAAACTGTTTTGCAATGAACATAGACGCTTTTTTTGGAAGCGTGTGCCACCGAATATGCTTAGGATGGTAGAAGCGTTAGAATACAAAATCACATGACAAGTTCAACGCTAGCAACTAAAATGCAAATTGAATGGCAGAGGTGTTTGATAGGCGGTGATGACATTTCTACTACTCCATTCAATCTCGTGTTCTAGAGAATTAGGTTGGTAGGGAAGATGAGAAAGGTGACAAAGTTTGATGGTAAAAAATATGGGTTGCTATTTACTTGGCATTTTGCGCAAAAGCTGGTGTTGGTGGTTTACGCAAAAAAATGTACCATTGAACCAATATTTTGGTTGATCTTATCAAGGTATAGATAGAGTAATCTCTCTAAATTTTGTGGCCTTTTTCACAGCAACAGATAGGGTAGTTGCTTTGTAATGTGGCAAAACGGGATAATTGCCAAATGGTGAAAGGAGTGACTTTTCACCAAAGGAGCAAGTGCCAAGCTCTTGAATGCTTGTTGGTATAAGTTATTGAATTAAGTAGGTTGGGTATGTGACCAACAGCAAACCAAGAATTTAAGCGGAGCACCCAAAAACATGTGGAGCTAAAATATGGTGGAGTGAGTGGACGGGGATGATCCACTATTCAATATAACCCAATATTTTTACTAGAGGCCAAGTATGATAGCAGAAACATCTCCACAAATTTCATGGATTTCTCAGCTCACATGGGCAGGAAAGAGAATTACTTTTAATTAAAAAATATTGCTTGGGCATAGCATTTTTTGCAAATCTAGATTTTATATGCATTGGGGAGCTAATGTGCTTTTTTTGTATAATCTTGCAAGCAAAGAAGATGAGGGTAACTTTGTAAAGCCAAGGCTAGGGTTTAATGTTCTAACAAATTAGAACAGGATTTTTGGATAGCCATGATCAAGGTAGGTGAGACCAAGGATATTCAAGGATGTAATGAGAATATTTCATGGGATAGCCATGAAAAAGTAAGGATGCCATGTTCCATATTGTCATCCACCTTAACCAAGAACACAATAAATTCAAGAAAAAACATATGAAGGGACATCTCCTTCCAGTTTCATGGATTCGATGGCTACAGCGAGCGCTCATTGCCGATGTGCAGACATCATTGGGCACCGCTTCAAACCTGATAGTGGACCGTGTTGTACGGGTTTTTGCTCGGTTTTCCCTTAATTAACCAAGCTTGTGTTACCTTATTAACTGGTCAAGTCTACTCCCTCTTAATGGATAGGAAAAGCTTCTACCAATTGCTCAACAAAAAACCGATGGCTGCGTACGGGACCACCGTTCGCTGGCTCCTTTGCTTGATCATGAGGTTTACTCTACTCCAGTTTGAATTTTTAGGGAGTAGTAACGATTTTTCTTTAGGCGTACCTGTAGCAATGTTCAAGTCTACTAGTGATTGGGGGCCGTCATTGCGGGCCTCTTCAGAGGAACTTGTGCGTGTATTTCTTTCTCTCAAAGAAAAAACCTCAACTTCATCTCAAAATTAAAAAGAAAACTTTCTCACAACACGTAAACATCACATCCATCTCAAAAAGAAAAAGGAAAAACCTAAAAAACATTCTTACAATGAAAAAAAAACAAAAGTCTAATTTTCATATTTCAAAAATAATCTTCAAAAAAAGTCCCCGCAAAAGAAAAAAAGTCTCAATTTCATCTTAAAAAAAATCAAAAAGTTTCTTAATTTCATCTTCCAAGATAAATAAGAAAAATTTATTGCCACAACCAACCAGCATGCGCCACGTGGACATGCTGGTTGGCCGCCATTCTCTGGTAGACTAATGTGTTTGATGAGACTTGTTGGCCTGCTCTCGTCAAACCATCAGTACCAATCAAGGTAGCCGAAAAGAGCTGTTCACATCACCGTCTCTGTCAATTAGTCTCGAATCCGGACTTTGCCACTTTCATCATCTTCAAATCCTTCTAGATGCCTCTCATTAATTAAACCCATTAAGCATCGTGTGAAGGGCGACCAACCAGCTATGCCACGTGACACACGCTGGTTGGCCGCGCTGAAAAAACTTTCTAAATATTTTTTTAGATGGAGGTGATGATTTATTTAAATATTTTCTCCCTTTTTAAATGGAGGTGATGACCCCACATATTTTTTTAAATGAACGGCTACGCAAAGTGGCCCTGATACGCTTCGTTGGTATTTTTTTTCCTTTTTACTTTTTTTAGATGGAAGTGAAGATTTTTTAATGTTTTCCTAGATGTAGGAGAGGACTCTATGTATTTTTTAAAATAAAAACAAGCGGCGCCACAAGCTGGCGCCCAAACCACTAGTAACTCTATATACAGCTCAGAAATAACACAAGCCATACCAGGCTACCACACACATGTCAAGCTCACGACTTAGAGCATCTCCAGCCGTTGGAAGGACGCATAAAAATCGTCCCTGGGACGAGCCGGCGATTCGTTCGGCGCTGGGAGCGGTTTTGCGTCCAGTCGTCGCCCCCAGCTCGCCCCCAGGCGCCGATGTTGGCCCACTTTTTGAAGCCCCATTTTGGCAAAAAAGGCCCATATGAGCGAGAATAGGCCCATATTCGGCGTTCAATTATCAACGTAAATATTTTTTTAACACATATTTCATCACAGAAAAATCAAATACTTCAACAAAATAGAACAACAACAAATAGTTCAATACAAATTAAATAGTTCAATAAATAAAAACTCATATTTCATCACATGTCGCGCCTGGCGTCGCCCTTGAGCCTCCATAGGTGCTCTATCAGATCTTGCTGCAGTTGATGATGCACCTGTGGGTCTCGGATCTCTTGACCCATACTGAGGTAGGCAGTCCAGGTTGCCGGTAGCTGGTGATCAACTTGGGCAAGATGACCCTGCCTGTGGTATGGTTCAGTGTCAAACACTGGCTCTTCCTGCTCGCTCTCAATGATTATGTTGTGCAAGATGACACAGCAGGTCATGATCTTCCACATTTGATCTTTCGACCAGGTCTAAGCAGGGTACTGGACAACAGCAAATCGTGATTGGAGCACACCAAATGCCCGTTCGACATCCTTCCTGCAAGCCTCCTGAATCTTCGCAAACCAGACGTTCTTGCCTCCAGGCACAGGGTTTTAGATGGTCTTCACAAATGTCAACCATCTCGAATAGATGCCATCAGCTAGATAGTACCCCTTGTTGTAGTGCCGCCCATTGATCTCGAAGTTCACCGGAGGAGAATGACCTTCAACAAGCTTGGCAAAGACAGGAGAGCACTGCAGCATGTTGATATCATTGTGAGTTCCTGGCATTACCAAAAAAGGAGTGCCAAATCCAGAGGTCCTGTGTGGCCACCGCCTCAAATACCACACTACAACCGCCTTTGGCGCCTTTGTACATCCCCTGCCAAGCAAATGGGCAATTCTTCTGTTTTCAATGCATACAGTCGATGCTTCCAAGCATCCCAGGAAATCCTCTTGCTGCATTCTGTGCTAGGATCCGAGCAGTGTCTTCCGCATTGGGTGTTCTCAAGTATTGCGGTCCAAACACTGCCACCACTGCCCGACAGAACTTGTAGAAACACTCTATGCTGGTGGACTCGGCCATGCGCCCATAGCTGTCCTGTGAGTCGCCGGGAGCTCCATATGCAAGCATCCTCATCGCTGTCGTGCATTTCTGGATAGAGGTGAATTCAAGTTTGCCGGTGCAATCCATCTTGCATTTGAAGTAGTTGTCGAACTCCCGGATGGAATTCACAATCCTGAGGAAAAGCTTTCTGCTCATCCAATAACGGCGCCGAAATGTTCTGTCGCCGTGACGTGGAGCATCGGCGAAGTAGTCGGAGTAGAGCATGCAGTAGCCTTCGAGACGATGCCGGTTCTTTACTTTCACCCGCCCCGGCGCCGAGCCACCTCGACGCGGCTTTTCATTGCTCGCCAGCAGTTGGGCGAGGGCGGCGAGCACCATGAGATGCTCTTCTTCCTAGGCATCGGCCTCGGCTTCCTCCTCCAGCAGCGCGGCGAGCACTTCCTCGTCATCCGAGTCCATCGCCGAGGCAGGCAAATCGCCGAACACCTTGCGCCCGGTGGGCGTGCACCCGCCGCTAAACTGCCCCTCCGTGGCCGGAAACGGCGGGCAGAAACGCCTAGCTGTTGTCGAAGGAGCTGCCGCGGCGAACCTCTGCTATTTTTTCGGCGGGGAATGACTATCTACCGGTGAAGGGCGGCGGGCGGCGCCGGGATATGGCTAATGGCGGCCGAGAGCGCGCGCGGGGGGTGGGAGGCAGGTCGGGGAAGAAAATCTTGACTTTTCACCTAACGGCGTGGGCCAGCCGCGCTTTTCCCTTGCGTCGGAGCCCCCAAGCGCGCCGGGTTCGGCCTGCGGCCGCCGAGCGGAAAAAAGGACCGAACCGGCGCTTTCCGTCGTCCTGGGGACGCGACTGGGGCGTTTTTTTGACGCCGGCGCCAAAGAAATCGCCTGGGGGGCCTGTTGGAGGCGCGGCTAAAGATGCTCTTATCAGTCAAATATTGTCATTAGTGCTGCAGCAAGCAAACTCACATGCCGCGAAGTTTCCCCTGTCATCCTCTCAATGTGGAGTGTAGACTCCAATCTGGCCCTGTAGTGACGAATATTCTTTAAGCGTGCAGCACTGTCATTGGAGACTTGTCGTCTGGCCATATGTGCTATATATGGTCTATGTCAATTGCCAACCTTGATGTATTTATCTATACCAAAGACTTTTGAGTCTGCTCTGCTCTCCTGTGCTATATATGGTCTATGTCGACCTTGATGTTTTTATCCTTATCAACTAGTTCCATTAGTTGCAGACTTTGCCATCTTTCATCTATATCTGTGCCGGCGCAAGCAGATGATCCCCATCTTCTTCCTCCTACTCTTGAGTTCATTCTGCAGCGCCGATGACCAGCTCACACAAGCAAAGCCACTCGCCCATGGCGGCATGCTCATCTCCGAGAGCGGGGACTTTGCTCTGGGCTTCATCTCCCCGACAAGCTCCAACAAGAGTTTTTACCTTGGCATATGGTACCACAGCCTCCCCGGGCCACGGACCGTTGTGTGGATCGCCAACCGCGACAACCCAATCATCAACCCTTCGTCCATGATGCTCAAGGTAACTAACAATTCTCGCATGGTATTATCAGACTCCGAAGGCCGTATTATTTGGATGGCAGGAAGCAATGCCACTTCTGGGGCGGCAGGAGCTTATGCAGTACTACTCAACTCAGGGAACTTTGTCCTCCGGTCTTCGGGCAACCAGGACATATGGTTGAGCTTCGATCATCCGTCCGACACCATCCTTCCAAACATGAGATTTTTGGTGAGCTACAAGGCACAAATCGTCACACGTCTTGTTGCTTGGAAAGGCCCCGATGACCCATCTTCTGGGGACTTCTCATGCAGTGGCGACCCAAGATCCCCAGACCTTCAGTTGGTAACGTTGAACAAGGCTAGGCTATATTGTCGTATCATTGTGTGGGACGGTGTGTCGGTGTCCGGCCGCACACTTCTAACCAACACTAGCTCCACATTGTACCAAACAGTTGTCAACTCTGGAGACGAGTTCAGTTACACGTTCGCTGTCTCCAACAACTCACCGTTCATGCGCATCATGCTTGACTACACTGGCAAGTTCAAGGCTCTAGGCTGGGACAATCACTCCATGTCATGGACACTCATCAATGAGCACCCCAATAGTGCTTGCGATCTCTACGCCTCTTGTGGCCCGTTTGGCTATTGTGACTTCACCAAGGCCATTCCAACATGCCAGTGCTTTGATGGGTTTGAGCCTGTAGACAGTAGTAACTCTTTTAAAGGATGTCAGAGAAAAGAAGCGTTGAAATGCCGCAAGCAAAGCCATTTCACGTCTTTTCCTGGAATGAAGGTTCCTGACATGTTCTTGCATATACGCAACAGAAACTTCGATGACTGTGCAGCTGAGTGCATCAACAATTGCTCGTGTACAGGGTATGCTTATGCCAACTTGAGTAGCGGAGGTGCTATGGCTGACCCGTCAAGGTACTTACTTTGGTCAGGGGAGCTTATTGATGCTCAGAAGAGAACCGTTGGCGAGAACCTGTACCTCCGACTTGCCAATCCTGGTATTCGGTGTTCCATGCCCTCTTTTTTTTCTTACCTAGTCAGTAATGATTTTAACTCTATTGTTAGTATATATCAATACATATTTAACCAAAAAAGACTGTAGTACTATAAAAATAATTTCAAAAAATATCTAAGCATACCATTTTCAAGATATCCAATCTAAATATATCAAGCAGTATCAGTAGTTAAAGTTTTAGAAGTTCCATATCAAGAACATCACGTTGTTTAGAACTGGAAGGAATACATATGGAAGGTCCTCTTGTTTAAATAAACACGGCATTCCTTTTAATATCATTTTACAATTACTAGGTTGTTCAATTACTTCTGGCCTTCACTTTCAAATTCATTGACAATTCTTTCCAGATTCTCTTCTGAGCAAAAATACGGAATTTCCATGTTTTAGCTATGAAGACATACTTTCAGGAACATTTTTTTTTCTGATTCCAACTTGCTTGGACGTGGAGGTTTTGGCAAAGTTTACAAGGTAACATAATGGGTTTGTCTTGTCATTCGCGGTACAGAGGAAACACTTTTAGAGTTGAAAAGTATCTCATGGGCTCAATTCAAAAACACATCTCTTCATGTAAAAATGTTACACATAGGTTCGAAAAAGTTAATTTCTATTTTTGGTTCCATTGAAAAAGTTTGATCATGTAGGGCACACTGGAAGGTGGAAATGAAGTTGCTGTCAAAAGGCTTATTAAGAGTTCTGGGCAAGGTATAGTGGAGTTCAAAAATGAAGTACTTCTCATTGCAAAACTACAGCACAAGAATCTAGTCAGACTTCTCGGCTGCTGCATTCATGAAGATGAGAAGTTATTGGTCTATGAGTACTTAGCTAACAAAAGTTTGGATGCCTTTCTTTTTGGTATGTGCTAGTTTTTAGATTACATACATTTTTTTACATGAACCAAAATGGTATTCATGACGACTTGTTTCCTTTCATTTTGACCATGAAAGATCATGCACGAAAACATGTGCTCGATTGGTTGACACGGTTTAAAATAATTAAAGGAATAGCAAGAGGCCTTCTTTATCTTCATCAAGATTCAAGATTAACGATAATTCACAGAGATCTCAAAGCAAGCAACATTTTGTTGGACACAGAAATGATTCCTAAAATTTCAGATTTTGGTATGGCAAGAATCTTTGGTGCAAACCAGAATCATGCTAACACAACCCGGGTCGTCGGAACATAGTAAGTAACTGGTGTACTAATGAACTCTTAGCACCCTTGTTGAATGTTTAGTATAGCGTGTTTTGTACATTCCTTGCTGACTTGTTGAATGTTTTAAACAGTGGTTACATGTCCCCTGAATATGCCATGGGAGGTACATTTTCTGTGAAATCAGACACTTATAGCTTTGGGGTCCTTCTATTGGAGATTGTTAGTGGTTTGAAGATCAGCTCAGCTCAGCTCAAAATGGAATTTTGTAGCCTTATATCTTATGTAATTGCTATGTAATCACTACCGGGCTCTTTGTTGCGTGTTTTCTAGCCGGCACTTGGCAAAGGCAAGGCTTTACCAAGTGTCCATTTTCTGCAGCACTCGGTTTAGGAGGGCCTTTGCCTAGTGCCCGACAGAAATCACTCAGCAAGCACTTTGATTCCGGTAGTGAATATGGGGAATTTCTAATTAATCTCTCCACCCAAGCAATATATTTAGTAACCTGATTGTGACTTCATGCTATTGGTCAGGCCTGGAGATTATGGGAAGATGGAAAAGCAACTGAATTGGTGGACTCCTTCATTGCTGCGAGCTGCCCACTTCATGAAGTTGTACGATGCATTCATGTGGGACTCTTGTGTGTCCAAGATCATCCAAATGATAGCCACTAATGTCCTCGGTTATGTTTATGTTAGAGAATGAAAGCGCAATGCTTCCACCTCCAAAGCATCCTGTGTACTTTGCTCTAGGTAATCCTAAAGGTGAACAAGCCAGTGAGAACACGAGTTCCTCGAATGCAATGAGTATCACAATGCTCAAAGGCCGTTAGTTGGTGTATAACTTAGTGTGCATTGAATTTTTTGTACATCAGGGGCGGAGCCAGTATGAATGAGTTGGGTTCATCTAAACTGAATTACCTTGTATACTCTAGTACTAATCACTTGTTAGAATTATCTTTATTTGGGTTGACCCAATAGTTTGGTACAGGTGAGCAAGTTAAGCATTTGTTTTGGCTTCGCCCCTGGTGTACATAGTTGTATGCTTTAGGATTGACTCTCTCCAAGCTGAAGTTTTGCTTAGGTGGTTGCAATATTTGTGAGTATTGTACGAGAAAAGTGGTGCACAACAGAGTGGAGCAACCATTGATGCAAGGAGGCCTGCCCGGCTACCGGTCCTCGACACCCAACTGCATTTCTTTTTGCGGGGATTATTTTTTATTGATAAAAGAGTTTTATTGCAAAACATTTTAATCACCATGAGTTCTTGTAACTATGTATCACGCTATCCGATTCCCAAAGCTTAGAAATGTTGAGGATACAGGATATGCCCAACTGGGAGGAATGGTCCATTATTGAAGATGTTGCAACATCAACAACAACTGCGGAAGGGAAAGAGGAAGCCCTGTCCCAAGGATCCAGATGCTGCCACGCTTGAAATGATTGATACTCAAAGGATGCCCCAAGCTAAGAGCTCTCCCACGACAGCTTGGATAGCAGGCAACCAGCTTGGAATTGCTCCATTTAAGAGGAGCAAGCTACTTGAAGGTGTTGGAGGACCTCCTATTCCTCTCAAAGATGCTTATAATCGCTGGATGTGAAGTCCTGGAGAGGGTTCCAGACCTTCCTAGACTGAGAGAACTCCGTGTATCTGGTTCTCCGACAACCTAAACTTCAAGTTTGTTGAGGGGTTGCGTTTACAGCAGCGGCGGCTGGATGCAGTACTTCTCTGCGCTGCAGGTACCGGGGCTTCTCTGTGTAAACGTGGCCTAGAGAGTAAGAAGATACTCCCTCTGTCCCATAATATAAAATCGTTTTGCAAGCTACTTGCAAAACGATCTTATATTATGGGACAGAGAGAGTACCTAACTAGATGGCAACAGAGACACAAGGTACGAGCACTGGTTAGGCATTTAATTTTCTTAGTTGGTCTGTGTCCGGCATTGTTCGATCATGCATCTAGGACTCTGCTCCGCCTATGCGCACTGTTTCCTTACATAACTACCATTGAAACTAGGTGAAGAAGAGAGTCGAAAACTTCTCCCCCCAACCCCCCGTGTCGCTCACGCGAGCGACGGAGGGAAACCCTCGCCGCCGCCGGTCCTAGCCCCCTCCCCTCCTCCTCTCTCCTCGCCGCCGCGTACTCGCTGGCAGGCAAAGCCCAGCCGGCCGCGGAGGCGGGGGGCCTCCTCTCCTTCCCGAACGGTGGTGGGCGGCGTGGGACGACCTCGCCGGTCGGGGACGCGGTGCTTCGTGGGGCACGGCGGCAAAGGTGGCTGCTGCCCTGTCGTGGTGGGCTACGTGCGGTGGTCGTCGGGGTTGCGCTCGTGGTGGCAGAGGCGGCGGTGCAGGCTTGGCGGCGGCGGAGGCCCAAATCGATCTGGATCTGGGGGCTCTCCTCTGGCTGGCGGCGCGGGGGTTAGCCAGGACCGGGCGTGGTTGTGGCGCTGGGCGTGGACCGTGGTGGCGCGCGGCCAGCTGCTGCAGGCGGCTGCTTCCGGTGCTGCGGTGGTCCTCGGTGGATTTGGGCTGCCACGGCGTGGTGGGAGCCCATGGTGGTGGCATGGGTCGGCTCATGGCGGCGGTGTTGCGTCGGCGTGGTTCAGCTCATGGTGGTGTACAGGTCGTGGCGCAGCGGCGGCTGGGCTCTCCGGCATCGGCTCGTCTGCGTGCGGCCCTTGGGGATGCTGTTGGTCTCTCTCGTGGATGCAGGTTGTGGCCGGTCCGGCTCCTCGCGTCGTTGAGCGGGTGGCTGGTTTGGGCCAGGTGCTGATCCAGGCTGCGAGTCCGGGTTGGTCGTCAGGGGTGACATTTGGAGAGGTGGTGGGAGAGATGGGTGGCGCCGATGTGGTCGGGCCACCCGTCACCGGCAGGGGTGCCGGACGTTGACATAGTCCGCCCCCGCCTCGCCCCTTCTCCGACCTGGTCGCTCCCTGATCGATTTGGCCATTCCTGGCGGCTCAATCGGTGGTCGGTGCTTGCCGGTCGGCTCATCGCCTACAGCCATGGAGGACCTTTTAAGCGCCTTGTTTCTTGGGCGACGGCCCAGGTGGTGGGAGCCGCGGTGCTTGTGGGCTGAGGCCGCAGCTCAGGTGTGAGCAGCTAGCCGCCATGGCCGCGTGGGCGGTGTGGTGGTAGGCGTTTCGTCGTCCTAACAAAGGCGGAGTATGCTTACCGGGGTGAAAACTCTGTCTGGTTTAGGCCAGACCGACAGAGGCGGCGTCTGTGGGCGTCGTCATCTTCCTGAAGTCTCTGTTGTGGTTGCTCCCTCGCTTCGTCGTGCTCCGGATGAAAATCCGATCTCTGGATCGGGCGGTGGCGGCGCTACGGTGTCGTGCCCTTCCTGAAGGCACCGTCTTGGTGTGCACGGTGTCGACGATTCTCAACTTCACCTCTTCGTGATCTCATCGGAAGGGCGCCGGCGGCTTCGTAGTGATGCTTATTGTCTTCTCTTGTTGTCTACGTCGAGTCTGTCGGTTTGGTGTTGTTGTAGCCCTTTGGCACCTATGTATCTGGCCCTGGTAGAGTGTGGTTCTCGTGTTGTGTGTTGTGGTTTGTATCGGATCCGTTTGTTGGTGGTTGGTGCTTTATATATAAAGCGGGGCGAAAGCCTTTTTCGGCTAAGGTTGACATTAAATTTGTGTACTTCCATTACTAGCATAACCATGTGGACAGCCTGTCTTTGATAAATTTGGCAGGGAACTTACAAGAAAATTATGTAAACAAGGGCTAAGAGTGAGACCTTACGGTTACACATCAGAATTAGATGGCCGCTCCATCAAGTAGACTGCAAGAAAAATTATTGTTTGCCTGCACTATTTTGTCCGCCTTCACAACAGCACTTAGTTGAAGGGGTGCAAAGCTCCGATCAGGGCCATAGAAATGAGGGAAATAGTTACAGCCATCAGCTGCCTCATAGATTAAGCCATCTGCAATCTAAGATACACATGAATAGTAAATTGTACATGTAAATGCCGTTGCATCAACAGGTGGCAATTTATGCATGTGTCCTAACAACCGTATAGTTTTTTTTTGAATGCTAACAACCTTATAGATAAGTACACTAAACCATAGTAAATATATATTTAATGATACAAAAAAATTGGCAATTTCCTCAATAGCTACAATAAACTGATAGGAGAAGAAATAAAATGAATGTTGAAAGATTAATACCTTGGCAGTGTCAATTTGTAGCAGGTATAGATTATTTTGCCCACGGAAATAATTCTTTAGTGTCATCTTCGCCTACACCAAGTCAAGGATTAAATAAACTTGGCTTTTGAGAAGGACCAACGCGCGCGCGCGCACACACAGAGACACAAAAGGATGAATGCATATGATTCATATTTTCTGAAGAAAAAAAACTCCAGATCAAGTCACACCACTGAAATAACAGGGATGATATTGTTTTTATATAGTCTCCTGGAATAGGCATAAAACTGATTAGATTGAAGCTGGTACAGTAGAAGTCAGTGCTCAACAGATATTACAAAACCAGAACATGTGACAGTTCAAGAAAGTGAATGGCAGACGGTCTGCACATCTCCTTTTGGACTGATC